ATAAATCTCTTAGATGCAGTCAATTTCATTCATAGAACTTGGCAAAAAGTTAGCGGAAAAACCATTGCAAATTGCTTTAAGCATGGGGTATTTGTAAGAAAAGAAAATGATTATGAACCAGACGATAAAATTCCACTTAACGAATGGTTAGAAAGAAAATTTTCTACAATCACGCCAAGTTGCTAATCATATCTGGGAGTAATTTTGTGATCTTGAAAACTACATAAATAACATCTATTTTTGCAGCAGAAATGTAGAAACAAAAATTACAGAGTTTATGAAGTAGATTTCAAATTGAATTTTGTTTATCTTTTTGTGTTCTTTTTAGTCATTTTTGAACCAGTTTTAGTTCATTTTTCAAGTTTGTTATATCCAGACTCAACTGTATAGAGATAATAATAATCGAGCAGGATTGATCAACGTGTTTCTTTTCCTCATTTTCTTGGTCATTTTTATGGTTTGGTGATATATTTTATGGATTTTTTGCCGTTTTGTTAATGTCTTTTTACTATGTCAAATTACATATTCATTCTTTAACAATTGACTCGAAAACAGTTAAAAAAATAAAAAATTGTGCGAGACAAAACAGTTGCTAATTGTATCGTTAGACAAAAATGCCACTTATTTCCAATTTTTCGTCTTTTTTTAATTCAAGCGTCTGACGGATTTTTAAAACATCATTCTTTGCTTCCTTGTGATTACAAAGATTAACATTCGAGGAATTTGGGAGACTTGATATTTTTTGAAAAAATCGACCTCTACGAAAAAAACGAAATTTTACATGCGCGTTTTTTGACCTTAATTGATTCTGTTCCACCTAAAAGGCAAAGATTGTGACCGATTAAAAATCGCTTGAAATGGGCTCACAATTTCACTTATTCTCCACCTCAAGGTTCAAGCGTATTTTTGAATGATCGATGATCGCCTTACATTCTTTGCGACGAAAAAGATGTAAAATTCTACGCATTGATATTTTTTTTGGTCGACAAAATTCAAATTCTCATAGAAATAGTCGATTCGGCCCAAAAAGACAAACATGTATAAATTTGAACCTTTTTTTGTCTAACTTTGTATAGTATGAAACCCGCGTTTCGCTCTTAGACATCATCAGACGTTATGTTAAAAAGTGAAGCAAAACCACACCACATTGACCTGATACGTAGCAATATTGACAAAATTAAATAAAATAAATAAGTCGAGCCCAATGAAACCGATCGGATCGGAAGCCGCTAAGCTTTAAAAATTTGTAATTTAGATAAAAACGTCTAGCATGTAGAAAATTAAGTAGGGCTCAAAGTTGAAGACATTATTAACTCACATGAGGTTCGGATTTTGAATCGCTCTATTAATTTCACCTATTGGATAAATGTATACAAAAAAAGTGTGGGATGGTAAAAAGTGACGAAATTCCCAAAAAAAGACACCTTTTGTGTACGTAAAAGCGTTTCACACACTGAACCATCCAGACTCTAATGTGTAACACACTTTTCAAATTTGAAGCAAATAGATCGAAAACTGCTAGAGTTTTTCCTTTATTCCTCCATCTGCTTCAACTAGATCCTAACTGGACCTTGATATTTCACTAGAGCACAAAGTGTTCATGCAAATCAGAAGCCCTGCTAATTACAAATTCGGACAGTTACCTGATTAACATTCCACGAGCGCACACCCAAAGACATATGTATGCATAATGTGGTAACCCATTAGGCAACCGAATTTAATCGATATTTTTCAATTAATTTTAATTATCCCCCCGTCTTAAGACCAACGACAGCCAATTGAATATTCCTGCTGCACTTTGCGGATGATACAATGCAATTGGGAATATTAATTCAGTTCCGGAAGCAATAGGCATGGATGGCAAAGGCTCCGAAGGATGAAATTTATTATTTTACTGCAGTTATTTGTGTGCTAGGCGCCAGACAAAGGAGACACTAACTTATTATGAGCAGGATGTCATGTTAAAAATCATAGAAGTTTATGGATATGCTCAAAATACGCAGCACAAGCATATAGATGGGTGTCACTCGAGCCAATCAACAGTTTCATTTCGATGTTGCATGTGAGTAAAGAGGAAACACCATTTCAGGCAAAGCAGCAGAATTGTTCTAAAATTTTGTTTTTAAGTTCAGAAAAATCTACTAATCTTTAACGTGGGGTAGATTCTGGGGTGGCAAACACCAATAGTTTGAAGATTTTTGAACTGGTGCTTTGAAGTGAAGCTTCGGAAGATGTGAGACTCTTTAAAAGACACAAGAAAGCTAGAAACGTTCAGGATAGTGATGAGTTTCAAATCAGAGTAGGTAAAAGAGGGATTAATTTGTAAAACAAGTGCGAGTAGAACAAATGACAAAAAGCAAAACTGAGTGAAATGCGGAAAATGGATAAAAACACAAGAATTTCCTTCTACACGGTCTTGATGCTAAAAAAATTAATAATAATTTTAAAAAATCCCGCTCAATTCCCCCACAGAAATTACCCCTATGTTGAATGGCCCTGTATATGTATATATATGCGTTGATGAAATTTCGAGTTTGCAGAAGCTGATTTTTTAAGCGCTACAAGAATAAGTTTAACATTGAAAACCAACTTTTTTTTTTTAGAAACACCCGGAAAGTCAGGATATAGTAAAATCATAAAAAAATGGCAAAAAAATGAGCAACAGAAACACGCCGAAACACGACCAACTGATAAATATTGGGTTCAATTAAGAATACTGCCAATCAATCGCAAGTTCGAAGTGACGAACTCAAAGCTTCCCCGAGCTAAGAAATGCATTGAAAACAATCCGGCGGATCCAATTCTCTATCCAACGATGCCAAAACGAATTCTGTGGCTGGAATGGTTCTTGAGAAACTTCGAAAAAAGCAGCGTCGTGTTCAAGTGGATTTTG